TTATTAATTATTTTTTGAGATGGCCTCGCTCTGTCGCTCACAGGAACCTCAAACTCCTGGGCTCAAGCAATCCTCCTGCCTCAGCCTCCCCAGTAGCTGCGACCACAGGCGCGCACCACCATGGTTGGCTAATTTTTTCTATTTTTAGTAGAGACCAGGTCTCCCTCTTGCTCAGGTTGGTCTTGAACTCCTGACCTCAGGCGATCCTCTGGCCTTGGCATGAGCCACTACACTGGGCCTGAAGTGTGATTTTAAAAAAACTGAATTTCAACTGCTAAATTCAGGTGTCTGTTTTTAGGGAAATAATGAAATTGGTTTATGTATAACCTCAACGCATAGCAAACATAGAAGAGCAAAGCATTCCATCCACAATATACTTTTGTTCCAACTGCTGACTTGAATTGTTAAAAGAGTGTTTTTCTGGCAAAGTTCCAGCAAGTAAAATGTTAGTAAATTCTTTCTAATTTAAAAAAAGAAAGAAAGAAAGAAAGAAACTATATTTCCTCAGTGACATAGTACAAGCAAGAATGAACGGAATAATCCTAAACTCTTATCATAATTAAACTATACATTCTCTCTCTAGATCAAAGAAGTGGGCACCAAGAGGCTCTTCTCTTATGATTCAAATTTGTTCACTGTTTGCTCTACATTTCTATCTAATAAAACATGGAATTCTCATATACATCACTCCCCTTGACTCTCATGATATACTTCTGGCTGGCTCAAGTGCACATACCAGCTCAAACTCACCTGTTTGGATGAGATGTGGGCAGCATGAACTGGAATTCCACCACACAGGTGTTGTCCTTAAGCTGGCGGTGCTGCACACTGTTAAGTTCATAGGCGATATAAGCCCTTCGAACATACACCTGGTTAAAAAGTAACCTTTAGTAAATAAACCTCAAAAACAGAAATTCACAGAATGACTAGAGCTCAGGAAAAAGATAGTCATGAAACGAGGTTATCTGGTGCAAAAGAAGGTGGTCTGTGGTGAAATAAGTCCCAAAGGCCTGTGCATACATACATACTTTGCTTTAATTAATAAAGCTGGCCTCTTAATACTATACCCATGACTATAAATGGAGACAAAACTAGGCTGCCTCTGTTGGACACCTATGTGTACTTTTTTCACACTAACCTAAACCCTGAAGAAGGTTTGACTTTTAGCAGAAGAAAGCATACAGAACCACCACTATTAACTCATTAAGCATAATCACTTCAACAGAAGATAAAAGCAAGCAATGAGAAAAATGAGAGGTGCTGATTCTGGGCCACTAAGGAGTGAAGATAGAAGACAGAAGCAATTGTGGTACAGTTCAACTCTTTTACTATCTTGTATCTTTCTTTTGTGTCCTTTCCCACCTCCCCCATAGCTCAAAATTGGTTTTGGATTATTTAGATCCCCAAACCCTGGCAAAAGCAGTAAGGCATAATTTGGCATATAATATCTCAAGAGTTGACTCAAGAGTTAAAGAAACAACAGACTACATTCTCAGTAAAAACCATCAGTCCAACCTCACGCACTGTACAGCCAATCTGCCATGCACATTAAAATGCTACATGGGATTCTATGGCATGTGAGGTATATAAGGAGGTTTCTCATTAAATGACATGAAACAAGAAAATGTGGTATAGACATACAATGGATCAGTGTATAGTCTGAAAAAAGAAAGAGATTCTACCATTTGTAACAACATGGATGAACCTGGAGGACATTATGTTAAGTGAAATAAGCCAGGCACAGAAAGACAAATATCAGATGATCTAACTTATATGTGGAATCTAAAAAAGTCAAACTCCTAGAAGGAGAAAACAGAATGGTGCTTACCCAAAGGCTGGGGGCAGGGGTGGGGTGGTATTGGGGAAATGTTAGTCAAAGGGTCCAAAGGTTCAGCTATGCATAATGAATACATTCTAGAGACATAATGTACAGCGTGGTGACAACAGTTAATAATACTGTATATTACATACTTAAAATTTCTAAGAGAGTAGATCTTAAATGTTCTCACCACAAAAAAATAAAGTATCTATGTGAGGTGATGGATACATTTAAAATAAATACATAAATAAAAAATAAATGACATGAAAGCCCTGTAAAACACTTAGATATTTTAAAACTTTGGTATTTACTGAATAGGATATTTTACACTCTACCCACAGAATACAAATAAAAGGTAACCCAAAAGAGCAGGGAACAGGCTATGGCAATGTTCTATTACATAAAATCATCTAAAGCACTCCTTTTCCCCACATTCAAAAAACATCTACTTGGCAATTTTACGGCAGTATTCAGGGCCCGCAATTTTTGTGCTTAATGAGGTAGTGTGCTGTAGCGGAAACAGAAAGGTCTTTGGAGTCAGATTAACCTGAGTTCAAATGCAAACTCCTTTACTTATTATCTATGTGATTTTGGACAAGTCACTTAATCTCCCAGAGTCTCACTTTTTTCTTACTTCATGAAGTAATTGTAGAGTTAAATGAGAAAAGTAAACTACCTAAAACACAGTTCATTAAATGCTGTTACTTTCTTTCCTATGAGGAAGTATTTCATAAGAGCTGCTTGACAATTCAAAACATAACTAAAATTCATTTCAATTTCGCCAAAATCACAAAACAGTAATGTTACATATGTTCTGATCAAGCATATATTTCCTTCACAGGGAATCCTAATACATTATGAAATGGGAGAATTCAAATACCTGGAAAATAGAAACTATTGAAGAATGCTGGCAGCTGTTTTCCTGTGATTGGAACCCAGAAGCTGGTGATTAGTTCAGATGAAACACCTGAGTAAAGTACCTGAGTAAGCACTTATTGTTAGAGAGGAAAAGACGACTACCCTTCAGAACCAACCTCAGGGCCAAAGAAAAAGAATGGACATGATAGCCAGACGGAAAAAACCAGCTAGAAAGAAAGGAAAAGGTCATGTCATGTTGCTATGAAAACTTACCTCCAGAGCTGCCATCCTCACTACCTGGTTGCTGTGATAGAAGAAGTTTGGTAGGACATCAAAAATAGATGTTTCAGATAGGATGAGTTTCTGGAAGGTACAAAGACAGGCTTAAACCATTACATCAAAAAAAGAACAATTTCAATAGACACTATTTGGCATTTGAAGCATTTAGTAAAAGCTAAGAATTCTGTCTGTGAATGCCATGTATGAACTTAGTCTTTCTGTGCCTCAGCTTCCTCAGCTACAAAATGGGGAAAATAATAACAATTATCCTCATAGGACTGTTGGACTATATGGGCTAGTATATGTGAAATTCTTAGAGTAACGCATTAACAATGCATTAATTACGTGTTAATATGTGTTCATGACTATTATTATTATCCTTTCGAACTTGTATCTGTACTCTACTTTCTAAATATTGTCTCAGTGCTCCACTATGGTAAACCTTAGATTTCAACTATGAACCAAATAAGAAAAAACATCCTTCTTTTTCCTTTAAGTTGTCCAGGAGAAAACCTTACAGAAAGTCTTAAGGTTCCTCTTGGCAAGATATAACAATAGCATCCTTGTTTCCAGGTAGAAAAATAGAAAGTCATTGCTAAGAAAGTTATGTTTTTTTAAAAAATGATAGTCGCAGTCCTTCCAATTAGTAGTAAAATTAGCCAATAATCTCTTATAAAATTGGCTTTTTAAAGCTTAATAGTAAGCATAAAAATAAAATTAAGATTAAATGATACTTAAATAGCTTTGTCTCCCAGTAACGTCTATGTATACATTTGATTAAAATATCAGAAATCGGCTGGGCGCGGTGGCTCACGCCTGTAATCCTAGCTCTCTGGGAGGCCGAGGCGGG